CAGTTAGTTCATGCTGACGTAAGCACGCGTCACATTTTGTTTTACAGGAAGACACAATGATTGGATTTTATATAAAAATACAAAATAAATAGAGGAACAATATAACATATTTGGGGGCTCGTCCATTCTGTATTTCTCATTTAGGTTTAAAAAAGTATTTCTGGTGGCTCCTATGTGAACGACGATAAACTTTTAGAAAGTGGGGACAGTTATTAACAAGTAAATACAAATGACACACCAGAAGTAGTAAACAACAAAGGAGTGATCATTTCAAAATGCTTTTTCAATGCTGAACTTCCTTAGTATTTAGGCGGCAGCAGAAACCTCAATAGCTCATATAAGAATTCTAATATAATAATTGTAAAACACAATCTTACACCTGAGGCTTGGTCCACCTGCTCGGGTTCTGGACATCCTGTTGTTAAAGTTGAACCTGGGCTTTCAGCCAACAGCTCAGCTCTACAACTCGACAACGTGTCCTGACTACCTCCTCCTACAACCATCCATCCATCCATCCACCTATACGTCCGTCCGTCTGTCTGTATTTTATCCCCATGAAGGACTGGAGGAGCCTCCAAGTTGGGAACATTCAACTTTTTTAGCAGAATTAAAATTTTCACACAGAAAACTTGAGCAGATTAAATCACATTGGGGAGCTCGTCTGTGTGTCTAATCCTGTTTCCAGTGAAACCACCTCAGACAGGGAGCTGGTAGAAGATGATCACATTGGGCCTCAAAGACAAACAACAAACCTATCCCCATTAGGAGGCCACCAGGGCCACCAGGGCCCCCCCCTGACACTTAGATCCTCAACACCTGCTGCTGCTGAGCCTGCCAGACTGTCTGCCACCAAAACCCTGACCCTGGCCTCTGTGATACTGTATGATCGTCCTCCAGGAGAGGTCAGAGGTCAACTGCAGCCCGCCTCCATACCCTGCCTTTAGAAACTGTTGGGGAAAATAAAGTAAAGCAACAACTGAGCAGCTGCTGGTTTAGATTCAAACTGTAGAACTAAGATCAGAACTATGTCAGCGCATCAGTCACTGTGCTTCATCAGTGCTGAACAATTACACTCTGTTGTTAATGAGATTTTAATGTCTCATAAAGCAGAAACTGCCATTAAAGTCACAGAAGTTCCCAACAATAACCTTAAAGTTAAGATATTCTGATGAGGAGATGAGGAGAGAGAAAAGATCACCCCTGAAGCGATGGACTACAGGTGAATTTATTTATTTTTATTGATCGTTCAGCTGCTCAGTGAACAGAGCGGCCAGGCTTTACTATAAATAATACTAATGATTGATAATATTGATTGATCTGTGCTGCAGATTAGAATAAGCTGTTCTAACGACATTAATGTGGACACTTTTTAGAACTTTAGGAAAAGGATTTCCATATAAAGTAAGTCATCATCATAATGCCATTACCTGAACCTGCCGTCTTATCAATCAATCAATCAATCAATCAATCAATCAATCAACCTCTAACCAACTTACAGATTTTATTTACAAAACTTTCCTTCTGTTCTTTCAGCAATAAACAGATTTTTTATTCTTCATTTGTGTCGTTTCTGTACACATTATTTATTCTATACTGCTACAGGGGTCAGAGTTCACAGACACACACACACACACACACACACACACACACAGGGCTAAATATACATTATTCCATCTGACATGTAAATTAACTTTAAGTGTTCATTTCTCATTTCTTATCATGTAGTTCAAATGTTGTCTCCTAAAGAAAAATAATGATTTTCAACACACACGCACGCACGCACGCACGCACGCACGCCCGGGGGCAGATACTGTATGTGCAGGCTGACATGGATGTACACCAAGGGAGTTAACCCGGAGCTCCCCCTCCACCGCCTCAGCTGGGTCTGACTGAGGAGGAGGAGGGAGGAGGAGGCAGAGGTCTTGGAGGTGAAGCTGTGCCTAGAGATAAAGAGCTGCAGCAGTGTGGGGGAGAAAAACACAACAAGGTTTCCCAAATTTACTCCCCACGACGGCCAAGATTGTGAACGGGAAATCTTTTAGAAACTAAACTGATGATTAAAGTCAGATCATCTGCTCTCCACCCAGAGGACTACATCCAGGACGCATTCTGATCCACCTCAACTGACTGCGATATTACTCATCTCTGATGAGTTTTACGAGGTCCTCCACCCTCAAATGTGCTTTTGGAGCTGTAACCTGAACTATCTGACTGTTCTTTACTGAAACACATTAATGCTGCAACAACCAGCCCGGTGACAAGGTGCAGCTCCTGTCTGACACCGTTTTTATTTTTCAGTGAATATCCAACCAATGAGAAGTTCATCAATCAGTTTACTTGGCTATCAGGGGGGCAGCCCTACCGTGAACTTCCCTCTAAAACATATCAGGAAAAACTTTTAACATGGAACTAAATAAAAGCTAAACTCCACAAACTACTCCTTAAATCAACATCCTCACATTCAGGACCAATGTCCTGCAAACACATCCACAGGTGAATCCAAACACCTCCAAACACTTTAATGGTAAAGTTTTACTTTGAGTAAAATACTTTTATTAAAGTATAAGTGCCTCTAATTTGTACTAAAGTACTATTAGTAAGTAAATGTACTATTAAAATCATGGAAAAAAGGTAAAAAAGAGAGACAGACAGACAGACAGACAGGCAGTTACCTGGTAATCCAGGATGCTGAAGCCTAGGCCTTTGTCTCTCTCCTTCTGCAGCTCCAACACCTGAACGTCTGGAGACCACAGAGCGAGCTCCCCTTCATCCTCATCTTCTTCATCCTGTTCCTCCTCCTCCTCCTCCTCTTCTTCCTGGCTGTGTAGAGTCTTCAGCACCTCCTCTACAGGGGATACCTGCTCCTGACACACACAAGTAACCATAGACTCTTCAGAGTACAATCAAATATCCAAAATTCAGACCAAAAAACAGCAGTTTCATTATTTTTATTCATCATTAATGTTATAATTCATTATTTTTATAGTATGAAAACTATTTATAGTAAAAACACATTGTCATGAGCTCTATATTCCACTCATTAACATGCTTGTAATTTCTTTCCAGATGCACATTTATTATCATAACACTGATGATGTTTGGTGCTCAAATGCAGTAAAAGTGGACGGATAGCTGATACATGTGACCATGTTATCATCACTACCTTGTTTACATTCAACCAGAGGCAAATTCAAATGACTTCCTGTATATTAGAATCAAAAATACTTCATTGATCCCTGGTAATATAAACAATATATACAGTTATTTATATGGATATAAATAACTGTATATATTGTTTCATTTGATTTAGTTATTTTATGAATTGAATGATCTGTTTGTTGCAGAAGTTCATTTCGTTATACAACCTCGTGTTGTACAGTGATGATAAATTTGATTCTGTGATAACTTCATCAGTCTCTCGATGCATCCTGAAACATTTTTCCACCTCAAGTTCAAAATCTAATTCTCAAATAAATGCAGAAAACTTCCTTTAAAATATTCAGGTTTTATCTTTTGGAAATGTAAACAATAAAAATGTTCACAGGTATAATTTATTTATTTACCAAATATGTTCACTTCCCCGTAATGTCTGATGTGTGTGTGTGTGTGTGCAGGGAAACCGCAGAGACAGAGTGAGACAGGTTACCTGTCTAGCTGCTAGCTGCTGCTCAATGGCGTTCTCTCTCTGTTCGGTCTGACTGCAGAGTATCGACGACAGCTTCAGCTCGATCTGAACAAACACGACACAGTGTGACGATATGATCATAATGAATAATTCAAACATAATGTGATCCTTCACGTTCTCACCTCCTCCACACTGGGTTGGGACTGTCTTACTGGTACTGGTCCAGGTTCAGGTCCAGGTCGCAGTGCGGGTTCAGGCTCCAGGTCAGATTCAGATTCTGGTTCTGGCTCCAGGTCGGAGGTCGGGTGCCGGCAACAGACCAGAGTGAACGGAGGAGGCACTTCTTTGAGGAACGACACTGCTTCCCGGCGGGTCTTACCGTACAGCTGAACATCATTCACCTGCACACAAACAAAAAAACAAACATTAAATTTTTACTTAAAAATACACAGTTCCTGTGACACAGAGAAAAACAACAGCTCAGTGTTTTAATGTGAACTGTGTTAAGTTGCAATGATTTTATCCCAGATTCAGCAGGAGGATGTTGTGGTTCATGTTGTGGTTCATGTAGTCGTAAAGTATACATAAAACCAATTTAATTAATTTGTAATTCACATTTTGCACCACATGAAAAGTGCCCACGAGTTATTACAACGCGCACAAAAAGGTCATTTTCAGCCCAAAACAACATAGACAATGACTGACTAAAGGAGACAGGAATAGCGTGTGAACACACTATAGTTTAATACTGGACTTCAGTCAAGGAAAAATTACTAAAAAAAAGACTCTTAACTGGCATTTGTTGACCAGATATTAGTGTCATCCACATTAATGCAGTTTTAATAGAAATTTAAGGCAGTAAAGATCAACAGTGAGGATCAATACTGCACCAAAAAGTAGTGGACCCAGATTTGAGCCTTGTGGGACTCCATATGAAGATTTTAATATGTCAGAAGTACCAATGTAACAATTCACTCAAATCATGATTTCATACATTTAAATCATTTTTTTTCTTTTTAACAAAATGAGACTGAAGACAAGATTCCTTTATTTATCAGTCAAAAACCTAAAAAGGAATTATCATCATCATTATTATTATTGTCCAAAAAGAACTGCATTTTTTTTGGGCCGCAACAAGCTCAAAAAGTCATGACTGAAACCGGCTGCGGAGAAAGAGATTTATTTTATTTCATTAGGTATAAACTGTGCAAAACAATGTGGATTTCCTTTTCTGTGTAAAAGTAAAAGAGATAATATAACCATATCTTGTCTGTTTAAAAGCTGCCACACCTCCGATTTTAGACAGGATGGTTCATCATTCATTTTAAAGTTGTATATTTCATGTCACCAAAATCTTCACATATTTAAATTGTGACTGAACTCAATATATCGTACATTCCTAGTCAGAGGAAAAGTGACAGGTACACTACAGGGAGAGGTCAAACTGTTACTAGCTCCATCAAAAGATTTAAAATGAGTAAATATAAATGTAAAAGGAGATATTGTGGTTTTAGTAACGGTTAGCATTGGAGCTATTTGACGTGTAACTAGTCTAGTCTAACATCCCGTAGTAGCTGCACATAGTTCACAGTGTGTGTCTGTGTGAGTGATCACCTCCAGGAGCTCGTCCTCTGGTCTCAAGAGGCCATGTCTGTCCACGGGGCCCCCGGGGGCCACTGAGGAGATGTAGTGGTGACCATCAAACGAGTCGAGCTCGACGCCAAGACGCAGAGTGTGGATGGGCAGCAGCTGTACGCAACAATACAGGACAGGATGAAATACAGATTATAAAAATTCTGTTGTTGGTTTATTACAGAAGGTCCACCCAGCTCAAACTAATACATCCTCCTTCATGAGCGTTATAATGTTCAGTTGTTGGTTAAACTGTCTTAGAGATGCATACAGATGTCCGCTGTATGGGCATGTTGGAGGATGTAGTTTGGGGTGCTGCTGAACTAACATTCAGTCAACCTTCATGGGCTAAAAAATAAATCAGAAATACTTCTCAGTACAAAGCGAACCTCGGTCAACTTCCTCCTTTCCTGTACTTAGATATGCTATGTGCTAAGCTAATCTAGGTTGAATAGACAACCACAATTTGAAGGTGGTTAAAAGATAAAAGAGACATAGATAAAGTCACATCTTAAATTCGCTAATTTCAGTTTAGATGTGTCACGTTTCCTCACCTTGGAGGATTTTTGCAGCTCTGCATCATCTTCAATGACAGGATCCAACTTCACCACCTGACGACACACATTACACAGAGAAACAGACATGAAGACAAAATAATAAAGAAACAATAACAAGAGACAATACATACAAATATAATATATAATACAGAAGTTAGCAGTGTGATAGTATGGAGAGTATCAGTGGAAATGTGTAACACTGTACTGTCTTACCAGAACCTGGTACTGTGGTCCCAGAGCCGCCTCCCATTTATCCCTCAGTTCAGCGTCTGTAGCTGCACACACACACACACACACACACACACACACACACAGATACAGATACAGAGCAGCCTGTGTAAGCAGTGGAACAGATGTAAAATTACAATTCAGCCATTAAAACCCAGCAGCTCATCAACTACAACCTCCAGTAACGTAACACAACACTGCGAGTGATGCAAGTGTAGTAAAAGTAGTACTGCGGCAAAAACACAGCGGCACGTATCGCAGTGCGTTCCCAGAAGATGCCATACATTACGACTTTTATTTATTTATTTACAACAAGCGAGTCTTTATGTTCAGTTGGAGCATTCATTAACATGGTGTCACCTGTAGGTACAGCCTATGTGAGTTATTCACTACATTGCAACCAACCACTGACACGTGTATTGTCTTTTTTTTTTCTTCAGGGATGAGCCTCCAGGCGTCTTGTGCAAATATACCTGCATTCTCTCTAAAGGCCAGCAGGGGGAGCCTCCAGCTGGTTGCAAGTAAACACTGCATACCATTCAGTCTTATGGGAGAAATGAACTCTCAGTTGGTTTATGAGCTCAGTAAACAGTTTCCTGATGAGTTTCTGCTCTCAGTCTCTAGTTTCAGTCTTCTTCCATACAGCATGATGTTCATTTAGTAACTGATGGTGGTGATGCACGTAAGGTATTTACTGACGGATCTTATGTCGTAGAACAAAAACAAACAATCTCTTAAGCTCACTTTAACCACAGACCTTAGTTCAGACATCTAACCAAAAACCCACTGACTGCTTTAGCTAAAAGACTAACTCGGTTCAGGGCTTTAGGACTCACTCCTGCAGCAGTCTAAAGGAAGTGGTGGGGTAACTAACAGGCGTGTGTTTAGTATGTTACCCCGCTGGTTGCCCTGCAGCAGAGCTCCAGTCAACCAGTACTGTAGTTCTGCCGAAGCACAAACATTTGAGTACGTCTCTGCTCCGGGCTGACGGTCAGCTCATTGGAATTCACCGGTTAGAAGCAAAAAAGCTAAATGACTTGAAATGTAAACTGTAAAGTAAGCAACTTCAACTGTGGAGAATTTGTGTGTGTGTGTGTTTAATGCATCTGCACACACACACAGAAATGTCTCAGCAACAATAGGTTCTTAAATCACAGGAGAATAAATGGGTTTTCCAGAGCAGAGCGACCGTAGCAACATGAAACACTGACAGTCAGAGCCGATTACACAGCGGCTCTCTGAGGAAAACCTCCTGAGCCGCCGTCAGTCCGCTCTCTGACCCTTCAGGCTGATTCCAGGGAATCTGAGCCCAAGAAAAACACCTCCATGTTCTCACAAATCTCCTCACATGTTGAGGTATTGTGCAGCAGGTCTGGCGGTGTTACAACAACAGCCTCTGATTAAATTAGCATTGCTAACCTCGGCCTTCACAGCGCAATTAATCTGCAGCGTTTGGCTGAATAAACAGGGTAATACATCGCTGCGAGGCTGGCAGACAGCTCGGACACTTTACATCTGTTGGCCGGGAGCAGGCGGGCGGCGTGCTAAGTGTTAGCGTGGCGTTTTGGCCACTTAGCAAAGCTAATGAGGAATAAAAAGAGAGGAAATAATTCAGAGAGGAGTGCTGTTAGAGGCCTGGGCTGACATGTCTGCAGGAGCTACACTTTTTTACACACTGATACTCTTGGTTTTAGATTTAAGGACTGTGTGATCAGAGTTTGTGCTCAATCCATGAATCCTCATTCTGTTTACTGTGTCTGTAGGTTCATTTTAAAATGTTATTTTAAGTCTTTAACATCTCATCCTCAGTTATATTGTTCTCCTATTTAACAATGTATGATAAAACTCAACTTCTTTGTATTTTTTACATCAAAATCAGTTTGTCTTACTGTAGCCATAATGAATCTTCGCTCTGTGTGTTGAACATTGATTGACGGGTGAATGTCTGATACTATTGGTTGAAATCAGTTCATACTTACAGAAGCATGCCTCACATTTAGTTTTACAGGAAGACACAATGATTGGATTTTAATATAAAAATACAGAGAAATTTGTGTGAGAGTTTGTGTGAATAGTTTGTCAGAATTAAAACCTTAAAGGGTTAAAATGAAATGTTTTCATTTCACCTGGACTGTGTGTGGTGTGTGTGTGTGTCTGTGAGTGTGTGTGTGTGTGTGTGTGTGCGTGCGTGCACTCACCCCTCGTTAGCTGTCCTGTGTTCGGGTACGTCGGTTCGAGATTCGGCGATGTAAACCCAAACCCAGACGAGCGAGTCTTGATGTCCAACGACCTCCTCAGTGACACCCGAAACGACTCCCTCTCCACTGACACACACACACACACACACACACACACACACACACACAGAAGACATAAGAATATGCACTTCCTCCCATTTCTAGCTCTGATAACTTGAGTGTCTCCCAAGACAGACTGTAACGTCGGCTCTGTCTAATTCCTGGCTTTGGCTCACTGAGGTTGAATGGAAACGCACTGCAGGTAAAGGGTGCTCTGACCTTTGACCTCCTGACTGATCATTACTGTTGGTGATCTATAAAACTGAAGGCTCATCATAAGTCTGTGCAGATAAGAGCTGCAGAATAGAAGAAGTTGAAACTGGAGCTGGTTTCCAGTTCTGTGTTTCCTCTGTAATGAAAATAAAAGACGTCTGGAGGAGATAAGAGCCCTGCACTCCTCTTCTTCTTTAAAAATCACTTGTTTCTCTCTGGCCCTGGAGGCTGACCAGTGCAGGCCGCCAGGACGATCGCAAGACAAAAAAATGACCCTGAACCGGGCGAATTAATCTCTGCGGACGGCGGTGGAGGAGGAATCGCTGGCGTTCTGTGCACAGTTTGTGAAAATTACACCGAGTTGTAAACAGATTTGTCATCTTAATCTGGGTGAGAGGACAGAGGCTTCAGACGGGAAATAGGAAGCACAGCTCTGATAAGTTTAACACAGAGTTAACTTCTCTCTCTGGACCAGATTATTGCTGTAATACAAAATCATCATCAACTTAATGGAACAGAAACCCACATTTGAGCCTGAGACACATGTGAATGAGGACCATTTGTACTACACACAACTGACTATATCCGTTTAAAAAGGCCTACTAATGAAACTAATTCATGCTTTTTGTTATATTATTTTAGGTTTCATTGATTTATTACTGTAATAATACAGATGAACTTAATTAACTGACAGACATTTGAGTAGCTCCTTGCTCTTCACTGCATGTTGCACCGTAACGCATGACGCCCCCCTAAAGTGTCTGTCTGTCTGTCTGTCTGTCTGTCTGTCTACCTTTATCCAGGGATCTCTCCAGGGCTCTGGGTTTCTTCCTGATCACAGAGAGAACGACAGTCTGACCCGTCCTCTTCATCACCTCCAGAACCTCATGATTGGTCAGACCGTGGACACTGACACCGTCCAGCTGTAGAGACAGACAGGTAGGCACATCAGGACGAGACAGACAGGTATCCTACAGCTACTTCAGAATAAAAGCCCAACAGCTTGGGCTGTAATTTATCTACACTTTCATTTGTTGGATGTTTTATGAAACAAACAGTGAACAGCTGAAGTGGAGTTTGACTTTCTGGATTAAATCAGCAACACACACAGACACAGACACACACACACACAAAGACACACAAACACACACACACACACACACACAAAGACACACAAACACACACAAACAAACACACAC